TTTTTTTTTTTTTTTTTTTTTTTTTTTTTTTTTTTTTTTTTTTTTTTTTTTTTTTTTTTTTTTTTTTCTTGCTTATCTCGACCCTGATGCCGACCCTGATTCGCACCCCGATGTCGGCGCAGATCCCCATTGTCCGCGATTAGTCGATCGATCAATCAGCCTCTTGATAGATCCCGATCCTGACCTCACCACGATCCCGACCCCGATCCCGACCCCGATCCCGACCCCGATCGATAGATTGATTGATTCGATAGATTGATTGATTGATTGATTGATTGATTGATTGATTGATTGATTGATTGATTGATTGATTGATTGATTGATTTATTGATTGAAAAAAAATAAAACTTATTAAAAGAACCCGATCATTATTGCATAGTCTGAGGGGCCTGACAGAGTCAATGTCGAAATGCACATGGAGAAATTAAAATGCACACACACACATACACACGTGTCAATGTCGAAATGCAAATGGACTAATTAAATTCTCAAAACCCCGAAGTGTATTTTCGGTAAAGAAAACCAGAAAGCCCATCGATATATAATCCCTAGAGAGACTTAGTAAGATCCCGAAATCCCGTACTACATTTTCGCTATCGAAAACCCCGAAAGCCTATCGAGATTTAATCCCTAGAGAGACTAGGTAAAATCCCGAAACCCCGTAGTGTATTTTCGGTAACGAAACCCCGAAAGCCTATCGAGATATAATCCCTAGAGAAACTAAGTAAAATCCCAAAACCCCGAAGTGTATTTTCGGTAAGGAAATCCCGAAAGCCTATCGAGATATAATCCCTAGAGAGACTTAGTAAAATCCCGAAACCCCGTAGTGCGTTTTCGGTAACGAAACCCCGAAAGCCTATCGAGATATTATCCCTGGAGATACTAAGTAAAATCTCGAAACCCCGAACTGTATTTTCGCTAACGAAACCCCGAAAGCCTATCGATATACAATCCCTAGAGAGACTAAATAAAATCCCGAAAACCCGAAGTGTATTTTTGGTAACAAGACCCTGAAAGCCTATCGAGATACAAACCTTAGAAAGTCTAAGTAAAATCCCGAAAACCCGAAGTGTATTTTTGGTAATATAACACCGAAAGCCTATCGAGATAAAATCCCTAGAAAAGTTGAGTAAAATCCCGAAACCCCAAAGTGTATTTTCGATAACGAAACCCCGAAAACCTATATAATTCCTAGAAAGACTTAGTAAAATCCCGAAACCCCGTAGTGCATTTTTAGTAACGGAACCCCAAGAACCTATCGAGATATAATCCCTAGAGAGGCTAAGTAAAATCTCGAAACCCCGTAGTGTGTTTTCGGTAAAGAAACCCCAAAAGCGTATCGAGATATAATCCCTCGAGAGGATGAGTAAAATCCCGAAAACCCGAAGTGTATTTTTGATAACAAGACCCTGAAAGCCTATCGAGATGTAGTCACTAGAGAGACTCAATAAAGTTATGAAACCCCGTGAGACATTTTCGCTATCGAAACCCCGGAAGCCTATCGAGTTCTAATCCCTAGAGAGTATAAGTAAGATCCCGAAACCCCGTGGTGCATTTTCGGTAACGAAACCCCGAAAGCCTATTGAGATATAATCCCTAGACATACTAAGTAAAATCCCGAAACCCCGAAGTGTATTTTCGCTAACGAAACCCCGAAAGCCTATCAATATATAATCCGTAGACAGACTAAGTAAAATCCCCAAAACCCGAAGCGTATTTTCGATAACGAGACCCTAAAAGCCTATCGAGAAATAATCCTTAGCAAGACTAAGTAAAATCCCAAAAACCCGAAGTGTATTTTTGGTAACGAAACCCCTAAAGCCTATCGAGATACAATCCCTAGAGAGATTGAGTAAAATCCCGAAACCCCGAAGTGTATTTTAAGTAACGAAACCCCGAAAGCCTATATAATTCCTAGAGACACTTAGTAAAATCCCGAAACCCTGTAGTGCATTTTCGGTAACGAAACCCCGAAAGCCTATCAAGATATTATCCCTAGAGAGGCTAAGTAAAATCCTAAAACCCCGTAGTGTCTTTTCGGTAACGAAACCCCAAAAGCCTATCGAGATGTAATCCCTAGAGACTCTTAGTAAAATCTCGAAACCCTGTAGTGTATATTCGGTAATGAAACCCCGAAAGCCTATCGAGATATAATCCCTAGAGAGACTAAGTAAAATCCCGAAACCCCGTAGTGCATTTTCGCTATCGAAACCACGAAAGCCTATCGACATTTAATCCCCACAGAGACTAAGTAAAATCCCAAAACCCCGTGGTGCATTTTCGGTAACGAAAACCCGAAAGCCTATCGAGACATAATCTGTAGAAAGAATG